ACCATTTTCATTTATATAGTGCTCTGTGAACACAAATTAGTTACCATAAATTAGTTAAATGACGAAAATTAGGTGTCTACTTCTTGTGCAACTAATCTGTTTACAGAAACATACATAAAGAGAGTAAACAATAAAATAGCTATGCGATTACTTAAAGGTTTTATAGAAAATATTTAACGAAAGATAACTGGTAAAAAATTACCACATTTTTTTTAAATTAACTGAGATACATAAATATGTATATACAGTGTATATATATTTCTATACATCAGTCTAATAATTTTTGTGATCTCGACTAGTAGATAGTTAGCGCAGTACAACAGCAGCTAACTATTTAGAAGTTAAGTAACAACAGGTTCTCAAGATTTCAAACTAAAGTATTTACGGTCTTAAGGTACTTATTGGCTCACGTACAATAATCAGATTATTGTATCAAACAATACATTATTTAATTAGTGAGATAAGTAATTTTTGAAACCTAATATGCATTTATGTATAGCAACTTAGGGTGGAGATTGCAACTTAATGACTTAGGGTTAACAATCTCTTCCAGTGGAGGCTGACGTGAAATGTCAAGCAAGTCTACTTCATCAAAAGATGAAATCATTTCGATACATTTATATAATTCTTGTTCTGGAATAGCAATAGTATCCAGTGCTAAATTCCTTTTTACTCTCTTTGAAATATTTTTTTTTGTAATAAACAACTTACTAGATTTATTTTAATTAGTAATTCTATTTGTTTTGGTACAGTTGTTACTTCATTAAATATTACATACCATTAAGTGTTGTCGAGTTGTCTAAATAGTTTTCTTTATTTTATGTAAATGCTTTTAAAGATGCATATTAAAGAGAACAACAAGATATTAAACCTGGTTGCATGGCTTGCGCATTTTTATGGACGTTCGCCCCCAGTCCTCGTATTTCACAAACCACGCCTATAGGTTTGACAGTTTTAAATGCCTTATATGTACTCTGACCTTGCAGAATGCAGATATGAACGTTAAGTTCATGTTCATTCCAATACATAACTTGAATATCAATAAGCTATAAAACAATCTCTGTGATCTGTAGAGTTAAAAAAAAAAGACGATTATATATTCGCCAAAACAGTAACAGCTTTGACTCTTGAAACTAATGTTAGGTTTTAGTTATAGTTATAGAGTATTTTGTAAAGATAAAAAACAAAAAAGACTGTTTTCAAACCATGTGATTCTATCTTTTCTGTTTACTTGTAGGATTCCTTTAGAATACTTTTGTTAATTTTATTAAGAAACGTAGCTGGTTTTTTCTTACCGAGGTCAAATGCTGTTTTGTTTTTTTTGTATCATACTGACGAATGCTTGCAACGTTTGAATCTTTTAAACACAATATTCTTTTTCATCAGGACCTAATAAATACGATAGATTTCTATGACCTATTCTTTCGCACAGCCACTAAATTTCTCAAGAAATCCACCTAGTGAAAGTACTAATCGCCAACAACATAATCACAATTAAAATGTCTTGGCATAAATATATTGAATACTAATAATCATATAGGGGTAAATTTCTGCAATGATACAAAATACGGTGATTACTTATATTAATAGCGTTCAATTAAATATCGTTTATTTAAAGAACAAAATATTTAAACTGTTCGGTTAACTAGTTGTAATTGTACGTAACTTCATATTCCTTTAACGCCTCATATTTAGTTCACGTCGAATTCGCGATCATTTGATAGTGCAATATCATGACGTATTGACTAGTGACTGAAAGCTATTGTCACAGTCAAAGAAGAATATTCGGACAGCGAGACTAATATTGACTAGTGACTGGAGGTTATTGTCACAGTCAAAGAAGAATATTCGGATAGTGAGACTAGTACTGACTTGTGACTGGAGGTTATTGTCACAGCCAAAGAAGAATATTCGGATAGTGAGACTAGTACTGACTTGTGACTGGAGGTTATTGTCACAGCCAAAGAAGAATATTCGGATAGTGAGACTAGTACTGACTTGTGACTGGAGGTTATTGTCACAGCCAAAGAATAGCAAGAATATTCGAATAGCAAGACTATTAAAAATGCAAAACCAAAAGATGCAATATTTTGATGAAGGGAGCCTTTATTGAACTTCACAGAAACGGAGAAATTTGCAGAGCAAAATGTTTAAGGCAACAACGAACTCCATATCCACCTCAAGTAAGTCTAGAGTAACGCCCTCACCCGCAAAGTAAAATTTGTATTACAGAACCCTCTGACCAGAAATGCTATCGTGATTAATTTGGGTGTTCATCTGATGTAAGAATATCAGCTATCGCCAATAACAAGATGATAAATAGGATTTGAAGATGGCAAAGACTCACAAATCTCTAACCACACCTCAAACTCAATAGCTATTTTCACGATAAAGATGGTTGAAGAAAATGAAAACACAGTAACATCATTCGACGTTTCACCTGTCAAGACCTCCACTGAAGCTTCAATATGCTTTCGTGCCTTGGGTCTGAATAAACGTGAAGCCACGTATAATTCGCAGAATCTCGTTCCAGCTGAAATTTCGGAGTCAGTAAACAGTGAATAATCATGGCCATCAGGAGAAGGTAGTTCCAGGGGCAGCACGAGACCTGAGACATCATTCTTATATAGTTCGATCTATATAAGGTTTAAAAAAAACGAAAATATAAAAGTTTCTATTTGCAGTATCTATTTTGTGAGATGTATTTTATTTATATAAAAAGCCCATTAAAAACATGAAATTTATATTTAAAGCAATAATCATATATCTCATTAAGTATTAGTAATCTCTGTTAGTTTGACACATATATTGTTACTTTTTCTAAGGCATTGAAAATTAAGATCAGAATTTAACAAACACTGAGCTATGCCAATCGACTTGTAAAGCTTATAGTTCGTTTATTGCTTTTTAATATAATATACTCGAAGTATAACATATAATTTCTTTCATGGTATGTTTGGCTTTATTTTGACCTTTTTTGTTGTCAGGAGTACCCATCAGAAGCTTAATGGTCCTTGACGATGAAGCTCGACCTGCAGAGCTCCAAGCTTGTCATCCTCGAGAAGAAGCAAAGTAAGAGAACACAGTGTGGAGAAAACACCAGTTCTTTTTTCCTCGCTTGCTTAAAACAAAATTAACTAAAATCACGGATCGTTTTTTTCTTTTCTTATTTGAAACTTTATATTATTAGAGAGATTGGATTTTGTCCAATATTTCGCATAGCAACTTCATCAGGAACATATAATCTACGCCCCCCCCCCCTCTCAGTGACACAGCGGTATGTCTGCGGATTTACAACGCTAGAAACCGGGTTTTGATACCCGTGGCGGGTAGAGCACAGATAGCCCATTGTGTAGCTTTGTGCTTAATTACAAACAAACAAACATGTATTCTACACCCTGGTCAACCTAGAGGCGAAATATTGGACAGTACTAAATAAAACAAAATGTTGTGGAGTCATATATGGTTGATTTTTGTGTATGTTTTGAAAAGATAATTCGCAACTCTAGTTAATTCAACAACATTTGTAAAAATGCTAGAGAGCACGTTTTGTTTCTTTTGTTGAACGTAGGATGTTACACACAAAAAATTTGAAAATAGGTCAATGGTAAACTTTCTACCTGTTCCTCTAAAGAGGTGTTTTTGAACCTCTGAACTACAAAGTTTGTTAGTTATGCACTGATAAGGTATTTTATGGCTACGCTACATGTTTTATAAACATGATCCCTTGTGTATAAGTACGAATATATAATTTCTCACTACTGATATAATTAGGAAAAACGTTTTAACCTTAGCTAGGTGGAGCTTTACGAGACTTCTAGTGCGTTCATTTTGTTAAACAAAAAAATTTCGTATTTTGTAACAGCATTAAGTTGTTTTGTTTTTTATTATTGTACTTAATGGACGTTTTTGAATACAGTAACATACATTTTAAACAAACGATAATTTTTTGAAAATACAAACACATACACTTTGGGGTCTATGTGACATCAACCAAAAAAATGTACCCTAATGGTTAAGGATTATTCGTGGTTTGATGCACAATTAGAACAAAGTAACGTGACTAGTGAAGTTATGATGTGGTTAATAAAAGAATGATTTATTCAAAACAATTCAAAATATTACGTGTAAACGCATTGCTCAAACCTTAACATAATCCCTTTCCTAAATAACATTTGGATGATATAATATGATATAAAAATCTAAATACTTTCTTCTTATAAGAAGTACTGTAACTGTTTGTATGAAACCCACTTATTTCTCGTAGACAACTTACATCACCATGTTTAATGGCCGAGGTGAGTTTTACTTATAAGAAGTACTGTTTGTATGAAACCCACTTCTTTCTCGTAGACAACTTACATCATCATGCTTAATGGCCGAGGTGAGTTTTACTTATAAGTACTGTAACTGTTTGTATGAAACCGAGTTCTTTCTTGTAGACAACTTACATCACCATGTTTAACGGCCGAGGTGAGTTTTACTTATAAAAAGTACTGTAACTGTTTGTATGAAACCGAGTTCTTTCTTGTAGACAACTTACATCATCACGTTTAATGGCCGAGGTGAGTTTTTGTTATAAGAAGTACTGTAACTGTTTGTATGAAACCGAGTTCTTTCTTGTAGACAACTTACATCATCACGTCCCTTATGTCGATTCATGCTACAGATGAGAAGAGGAGGTCTGGTCAAAATTTATGATGGTTGTTTAATGGCCGAGGTGAGTTTTGCTTTCTAAATACCCATTTCAAAGACACACATATTAAAATTCGAAGTGAAATTTTGTTATCTGTCTTCTATGTAGAAATCTAAATTTAATTTGATAGAAATTATCATATTCTCAACTCCAAAATGAACATAAAGAAATTATCATTTAGAGATTATGTTTTCATTGAGTTATAATTGTAAGTTAATTGCATTATACGAATGAAGTTAATACATGATCAAAACTAACCCGACAAGTAATTCCGCTCGCCTTCATACTTCTGGCAATAAATTCTAATTAAATAGGCGTAATAAAAGGATATTATCATAGTAAAATCTCAAAATTAGATCCATAAATAATCGACGTTATTTTTATAACGGAGGTTTACGATCTTATGTAAAAGGAGAAAATCTACAGTAATGAATATCTTACCGTTCTTCTATAGTTAAAAACTAAGTATTAAATATGTTTACTTACAAAGTGAGTAAGGAAAGGTACTCGAACAAACAAAATTCATTCTCCAGAAATATTATAGCTCTAATGAAGTATAATTAGTATTAGTGTTAAAAATGGTAGTTAATTTCCTTACGATTTCAAATAGCAAGTTCATTATATTCATTTAACTGTAGAGACATTTCACTATATAATACTAGTTAAAAGTGTTTATTTTGTTGTTGTTGTCCATTGCGACATTAATCTCAACTATTTGGGGTCGGCCTGTATTTAAAGAAAAACAACAACAAGAATTTGTTTACTCTCGAGCGGTTGGCCCAGTCAGCTACCTTATGGGGCGAGAATGTTTGGTGACATAGATTCGAACGCGGGACCCCCAGATTGCGAGTCTAGCAACCTACCACCAGGCCTACCATTAGAAGTATCGGTATTAGATGATTTCTTAAGTTGGAAGGTATTTTATCATATATATATATATAAAGAAACATATAAAAGCTTTTGACGTGTTTGCATAGTTTTTACTACACATTTTTTCCTTTAAAAATCACAAAGAGATAACACGTTGGTTGCCATAGGCCATACATTTTTTATTCTTAAAGATGGCTTTTTTGACAATAAAGCTGTTAGTGTCATTTATGGTACGTATATGGTAACATGGTAACAATGAGTATCCAGAGGTATTTATTTATTCGTTTATTATTACAATTGGGGAGGGGGATAAAATTCGTTTATTGTTTAACACCTTTATTTTCTGTATAAATGTTATTCCTAATCACCAGGTGGTAAGGGCGCTCGACTCGCAATCTGAGGGTCGTGGGTTCGAATCCCCACCCCATCAAACGTACTCGCTCTTTCAGCCGTGGGGGCGTTATAATCCCACTATTCGTTGGTAAAAGAGTAGCCTAAGAGTTGTGGGTGGGTCGTGATGACTAGTTGCCTTCCCTCTAGTCTTTCACTGCTAAAGTAGGGACGGTTAGTGCCTGATAGCCCTCTTGTAGCTTTGGGCGAAATTTCAAAAGCAAAGCAAATTACCCCTAGTCTGCGCGGTACTCTACTTTTCACTGTTTAAGTGAGTAATATAGATTGAACGTTGTATTTAAGTAGCTATGCTCAGGATTAGGTGTATATGTTTAATGATGATCTATGAGATAGCTTGCTTTGATCAGAAGTTAGTATTAATTGAATGATAGAATCAACAAAATTATCCTGATCGAAAATACAGGTATAAAATTGTTTTATTTTAAACATATAGTTAATTTGTTGCATTATAAAATATATATTCGATGTGCCAATTCCTTGCAGTCTCTGTACAAAAGTCTCCTGGTGTCAGATCGAACGACTGTAGAAGAACTGATTCAACTTGTTCTACATTGCTACAACTCCATAGAGAGGCCGAATCTCTTCTCGCTCTACGAAATATCTACCAGTAACAACTGTAAGATACTTTCAAAACTTGTTTTTGTACTTTACTTCCAGATTAACTAGAGTTCATACATGTATTATAATATAAACTACTTTGCACTTTGGGAACTTAGATGTGTTATAAGAGTGACGGTCAAATCCCATTATTCAATTATAGTAGCCTAAGAGTTGTCTACTATGCTGTTGACTACTTGCATTTTCTCTCGTGTTTGTTTGTAATTAAGCACAAAGCTACACAATGAGATATCTGTGCTCTGCCCACCACGGGTATCGAAATCCGGTTTATAGCATTGTAAGTCCGCAGACATACTTCTATGCCACTGGGGGGCCGTTATATAAGTTCAAAGCTAGGGACGGTTAGCTCAGATAGTCCTTGTGTAGATTCGCATGACTATCCAACTCAATCCAATGTTCTAGTCCTGTTTTAAATTCTAGTATTAGGTTATACTTTTGTCACTGCAAACCTTAGTTCTTTAATCAAAATAGTTGTTTGAACATCTGTTAACGAAATACATTGCAAATCAACCATGTCAGAATGATTTATTTCTTGGCTACATTTTGTAAAAAATTAATCAAGTTAATCATTATTATTTTCTCATTTTTCATTTCGATTTATGGTTTTTCGTTCATCCAGTTTAAATTGATGAAATTGTAGAGCATATTTAACCATCTTGTTATTATTCTTGAAGCAAGATTTTGGTTTTCGTGTCTTCTTTTTTAAAAAAAACATATCTATATATTTTTATTTATGTTTTCTTTAAAAATTCATTTTTCTTAAAATTCTTTGAATTTTTGCATTTTCTGGTAGAAGCTTAATTTTCATAAATTTTGGAATTATATCTTTTTCCTTGAATTTTTAGAAATCATAGACTCCATAGATTTTAATTTAACTTCAAATAAGCTATATTTCCTTCTTATGGTGGAATATTCTCCAGTGACCTCCGGTGGTTCAGCGGCATTCGATACTCGAGGTGGGTGAGCATAAATAGCCCATTGTGCAGCTTCGTGTTCATTAACAAACAAAAAATATTCTTCAGTATCATATGACAAAAAGAAGTTAAGCCTATTTTTCCGTTTGCTAATGGGCGCGAGGTTATTTCTAGGATTAGTTTTGTCTTTACCAATTTGTTCATTATAAATACGTATACAGAAGTGAAATGATCACAAATACTTTACATATAAGCTATAAGTAAATATATGAACATCGCCAGATACTAAATAATAGGTTACAAGTTTTATGGGTTGTTGTTGTTTGTTTTTTTTTCAGAATTTTCGCACACAGGCTATTTTCGAACATCCATCCCTAATTTTTAACTGACAGACTATAAGGAAGATAGCTACTTAAGAACATCCATCTTGTGCTACTCTTTTTTGAGAGAATAATGGGATTTGACTGTCACTCTTATAATGTACCCATAGCCCCGAAGTGTGAAGCACGTTTTGGGACCAATGGGCTGCAAGGAAAATAATGTACTTGTATCGTCATTATAATTTTCTTACCGTTTTCAACACGAATTTTAATTTTAGTTAAAAAGTAGTTTAGTTCATCGCCGTATTTTGTTGATATTAGAATATACGGTTAACTTTATATCTATGTTTACCTGACTGCTATAAATCTGTAGTAGTGGGTAATTTTCCAGTTTATTTAGACCATCTTCTTTTCTATGCATTATCGTAAAACTGAAATATCACGTAGTGAACACAAATCTTAATAATTCTAGAGGTTTCATTGTTCACGCACTAAAGATTTAGATCATGATCAACTCTTTTTCCAATTTACCAAGATGAAAGAAAACTCCATCCACACGATCTTCCTATTCTTATCCAACATGCTTGGCCTGATCCGAAACAGTTTGTGTTTCACCTGAGAAAAAACACCTTAGGATACCAGAAGCGAAAAGTAAGTTAAAATAATTGACTCTGAACACCCTGGTGATCATAAAGTCATCCGTTTGTTATATTTACACGTTAACTTGCAACAGTAAATTGAAGGTGATTAGGGAGAAAACAACTGTTATTTTTTTAACTTAGACTTGAAAAATATTTACATATTGAAATTATGCAGGTTTATAAAAGGTATTCATACAGCAATACTATATATTCGGTGTTGTATTTTCGCACACAAAACAATTCTATTTGTGTTGATTGAGAAACTAAAAAAAAAATTTGTAGATTGAAGTACATTTATACTGGAAACTATATATAAAATACATCTCGTACAACTTGAACGATACATTATTTTATCAGTAGTTTTCTTTTCTCTACACTTTTTGTGTATTCTACACTTCACTGTGTAAATCTGATTATTAATTACAAGCATTATTTTTGGGGAACATCTCATAACCCTTCGCGGAACGTTAGATAATCAAAGTCAATTAAGTGTTTTTATGAATCATTTTCGAGGTATTAATAATCAGAACCTTTTTCAAAAGTTCGAGAAAATGGGGAAAAAAGTTAAAAGCAAATTGTTTAATACTTAATAAGTTTGATATCTATTTCGGTAAGGAAGATTCTCATCACCCTGCCCATTCCCCTGCTGGCAGCTTTTATTACAAAAACTTTGATTGATAAATTATTTAAAAAGTAACAGAAAGTGTCTATTTTTGCACGTTATTAAAGATTCTCGTTTCTTATCGGGAATTTTCTGATCAGTAATTAACTTACTGATGTCATTATAATCGTGCTCTGTAAAATATGGTCAATTTTGTACTTATCTAAAAAAACAAATAATGTTACTCTGAAGACATGTACACAGTAGTTTTAACAGCCCAGACTCACAAAAAAATCCTTCTAGAAAAAATATGGCGTCACAAAAGAAATCTCTGTAGCTTACCGTGTCAGATCAAAACACATAAAAAAGGTTAAAACGTACATCAGTGAAAGTGTAAAATACACAATACAGTGTATGTTAGATAAATTAACGAAAAAAAAACTTTTGGCTAAGCTGTGTGGGTATATTTCTTCTCAGAAGACTGTGTAGGACTGAAGAGAACACATGGGAGTGTTAAAACTAGTTTCCCAGTCTTTGTACTAATATCTTGTTCTAAAGGTGTGGGTTTTTTACATTACTGGAAGCTGTAAGGGAAGTTAAACAATCACGATTCTTTTAAAGAATAATATTAGACATTGTTCTGTTTATTAGTATTTATTTCGTTGAAACGCTTTATCGTAAGGTCCTTGTGTGTGAAAGAGAGCATTTCTTTCATTAGGGATACCTTTGTTCATTTGAAAAGACGAGTTTTTGTAGTGTTTGCTTGTTTGTAACCATGATGCTGTACTAAAAGCACATGCATGGCTAGTAACTATTTATTATAAATAAGTTTATTGTTTTCCTTTCAGGAAAGCTTGGAGTCACAATCATCACTTTGTTTTAGGCTGTATGTTTGATGATCACAAGCACTTGCACATTGCACAAAATTAGGTAAGCAGTACTTGCATGGAACATACCTTCAATGTCACAAGTAAGCGACTTGGATAAGAATGATCTACACAGTAGACATAGCTTTACAAATTCATTCCTGATTGATGTATTCAGTATGTGTGTGATGTTATATACAGAAATAATATAACAAGCAAGCTTTTTATTTTCCACGCACATCTCTTGTGTTGTTTCATGTTTCTTTGTTTTCAAATATTTACGATTAATTAACCAAAGAAATACTCCAGTGTTTTTCAGTTCGAATTATAAGTACCGTAACTTAAAAAAAAGTATGAAATAACAGACATGGCTAAAGACGATTTACCTTATTTAGTTTAGCTTATTTGTGTGTTTGTTTTCCATAGGTACTGTGGAGGAAAAGCACAGATGTTCATGGAAAGGCTACTTTTAGACTTAATGCTCGAGATGAGGTGAGCCCTCTGGCGATTCACTCTCCAACTCTGAAGCCATCTTTTAACAACTTCAAGAACTATATTTACATTTAAAAAAATCGGTGCAGAAGCAAAATATAACTAGTCAGCGAAGAGCAAATACCCACTTCTACACAGTATAGTACTGGTTTTCGCTAATACATTTTCACTGCTGTCCGACATCTGATGAAAATATTCCATTTCATTTCCTAGTTAACTGACGTGCAGAAAGCAATTTTCTCAAAAGTAAATTTTTCGAGAAAAGAAAATGGTGGGTCCAGGACTTTGTAAAATCCTGGCGGGGCGCCCTAAAAGCAAAATAATGAAAAGGCTCATGCAATAAGGAAGATAACAACGCATTGTCGAATGCATAACACTTTAAAATCTGGTACAAATGAACTGACCTACTCTAATATACGAAAATTTTGACTTAATATTACGCAGCCAAGTACAATAAACACATTTTATGCACAAAACTTTCACAAACACTTTTTTTAAGATAAATTTCACACGAAATAAAATCGATGTTTTTATACACTGTTAGCTTGAATTTTATTTATTTTTTAACTATTCAAACGTACACAGTACGCCCTCTACCGGTACCGTCAAGTTATGTGCATAATATAATAGTAATTACCCGTGAGATGTTTGTTTGAATTTATGCACAAAGCTACACAATGGGCTATCTGTGCTCTGCTCACCATTGGTATCGAAACGCGGTTTCTAGCGTTGTAAGTCCGCAGACATACCGCTGTGCCACTGGGGGGCTGAGATGTTTGAATGGCCTGTTTGCTTATTTGTTTGTGGTTAAGTGCAAAGCTACACGATGGGCTATATATGCTGTTCCCACCGCGGGTATCTAACCCCGATTTTAGCGTGATAAGCCCTCAATCTTAACTCTGTTCTATCAGGGGTGTTTGAATGAAATATTGTGTGAAATTTTTATTATTCTAGTAAAAGAAATAAGTAATCTATAACTGACTGTGATATCTCAGTATAAATATAAACAATAGTGAAATAAATGTTTAAATATGTTACAAGTAGTAAAAGATTCAATATTATTATAATCATCATACGCATAATCTGTCGATACCGTGAGAAGGCATACGACACATTCTCGCTCTGGGTCAGATTGTTTGTAGTTATGCACAAAACTACACAATGGGCTATCTGTGCTCTGCCCCCCACGGGTATCGAAAACCGGTTTCTAGCGTTGTAAGTCCCCAGACATACCGCTGTGCCACTATGGGCGCTCTGGGTCAGAAAAATTGGCTAGTAATAAATTTCCAAAGGAGCGAACAGAAAGTTTTAAACGAATCGCTAGACCATGGTGCACATAACATTATAGTCTAGTTGTTAAGACTCCATTTCACGATAGTATGTTCACTTAATCAACCGTAGAAATATGCGAACTGGTTGCATCCACCCCTCCCCTAGATCTACAACTGAAAACATACCAGTATATAAGCGATTCCGTAGTTACACTAAGCAAAAATGTATTTTGAGAATTATATGGGATTCACTGCAAACAGGCTTTCTCAAACAGCCAATACACGAAAAAACAAAACAAAAAAACATTATTGCACATATCAGAAGTGAACAATTTGAAAGTGTATCCATACTAATAACTTAAAACATTTATATTCCAATATTAGCCTTTAAATATATCAAAACTAAAATTTTGAACTGGGCGTGAAATATGAGTACGAACCATGGAATGAATATGTAGAGAAAATTAATCCATTGAAAGGGGGTTTCTAAAAGGTAATTAAATGTCTTTACCAGTGGTAACTTTGGTAGAGATGCTTGTCATGCTGAGTATGACTATTTTTGGAATAGGGGTTATACTTGTTTGTGTGTTCGTTGTAAAGCACAAACCAACAGATGGGCTATCTGCGCTGTGCCCACTACGTGTATCGAAACCCGTTTTTTAGCAGGGTGAGCCCACAGACTTATTGCTGAGCCACGAGAGGGGGGGGGGAGGCTTGGGTTATCAATTTCCATCTTTTAAAATTTTGTTCCAAAATTAACTTAATTAGTGCGAGCTGACATTAAAATTACTCCATCATCCAGTTCATTTTAAGTCAAATTTACTAACTTGGAACTGCTATATTAAATGCAAGAAAGCAACGGCTCGCGCTTTTACTTATGTGCATGTCATGCTTGTCTGAAAAAGTAGTATTTTATCCACTTAGTAGCTCTGGATTGCCCTACATCCAGCTAGGGCAGTATATTCACTTCACCTAGCATAAGCTGGTGTACCATTAAGTAGTTGAAATATTGACGCTATCGCAGACTGTTTACGTAGCAAAGTTATTTTAATAAGGTGTTTTGTATGGGATGGCATTACACACAGAAACACATATACGAAAGATCGCCACAATGGGTACGACTATTGAAAATATGCTAAAGTCGCCACTAGTCGGTATAACTTCCTCGATAGCAAACTTTTCTTCTTAAATATTTAAATTATGGTATCACACTCTTCTCATGATATTCAACTTCTAGTTAAATCATTTCATCCCTAAAGTTCGAGAAATGACTATTTGTTCTTATTACTTTTAATCAGCAATGGTTGAAATATGGAAGTGTGGCTTTCGTTTACGAGATATTTGAATTATTACACACATTATTACTACTTTTACCATTTTGAATCAACTAAATAACAGTTTTTATTAAAAATTATACAAGTTCAAGAATGAGTTTCGCAAATTTCGCCAAAGGGCATATATTAGTTCTTACCCGAATATGGATTGGCGAAATTGTTGTAAATCTGTAAGAAATATTGAGCAAGCAGAAACCTAAATACAAAAAACAGCTCGAGTTATAATTATTTACATTAAACATTGTGATAACGTTTTAATATCAATTTTACTTTGCTATCTATCATGGACGTCTGCAGGGGGGGGGGGGGCACTTGCCCCCTGGATTATCAGTTTTGCGTTTTCTTAGTTATAGATTTGATATCATTTTGTCATCTTGCCTCGCCCTACCCAATCTGTAATATATCCTGGGGACGCCCATGCATTTTAAGTTAGTAAAACTTTAAATTAATAAGAACTTACCGATAGGTTCTAAGTACTGTAAAAGCACCATGGCATGAACTATTTTCCAAAGAGTTGATGTTTGTTGTTAAATACTAATTTATAAATTAACAAGTTGTATTTATGGATTTTCTGAGTGCACGACTGTAGATATTGTAATCACTTGTAAAAAAAAAACAAGAAGAAGAAGCTAAATTTGTGAAGTTAATTAGTGTCTTATTGTAAAATTACGGTTTTCATACATACACCTGTATAAATACATTTTCTGTAAAAATGCTTTATACATTTTTCAATACTAGACTTTAAGGCAGAAACGTTTGACTTAATCATTTACGTTTATTGCATTTCTATTTTCATATGTTCAAAATCCGTTTTTTTGTTTTGTTTTTTTAACAGTGTGGTCAATATTTGGAGAAGGTGTTTTGTGGGCAACTCTTGCCTTGTGTTTATTGATGACCACGTTTCGGGCTCCATACCGTGTCCTTCTTAAGCGTGGAGCTCAAGAAGTTGTCACCAACAAACACAAGGAAGGAGCTGTCCTAAAAAATCTTCAACAAATAACGTTATCTAGTGTTGACTTAATGATTAAAAGGCTTTCTCGGAACTTTCATCAGTTATTATCCTTTAGCCTCAACCACTCCATGGCCATGACTCGCTGATCAGGTTTCTTAACTGAAGCATACCTAGTAATCCTCAATGTGAAGTCATGTTTAATACGAGTGTCCTTGTTTTGAACAAAGCCTTAGTAAAGCAATCCTGTAACTATACTGGCTTGAAAACTTGTGAAATCTGACTTTGACGATATATAAATATAACAAAAAATACAATTAGGTCGTGATATTCCGGTCTTTATGGAAAGAAGAAAGTAACACCTTTCTTTGGTACATCACACAGTTGAAGTGTAAAGGTGGCCATATTTTGTTAATTTTTAGCCAAATAATGAACATGGTTCAACAGTTTATTGACTTTAACACACCATTTCTATGACAGATTTTTTTTTTTAAATACGCCCTTGATTAGCATAAATTATGACCGTCTTTTGAACAAAACGATTACATAATTATCTTCCAAAGTTGTTGCAACTACCGAAGAGAATGAAGTATACGTTCGTGATGTTACCACCAGGTTCTTTTGAAAGAAAAAGTAATTAGCCTCAATATAATATTCCATTGTTAATTTAATAGCTTAACTTTTCAGATAATTCAGAAACTTAACACAATTAGACATTTTAAGGATCACAGAAATATTATCTACATATTTAGAATAATAAACAGGTGCGGTTTATATACCAACGGACACCTTTTCTTTTCATAAAAACAACAAAAATTAGAGAAAACTAAATAATTCCAATAAATACAATGTAGAATATTTCATTGCAAACAAAATTAATACACAAACATTTATGATTACCGTATATCACATCCCAATCTTTATGAACTAGCTTTATTGGTTTTTACCCATTAAATTTAAGCAATCTTTAAAGTCTTGTAGAAATTTTGTAATAAAGCCGGCAAATTTTTACTAGAAATTTCAATATTAGATGTAATCAGTTTTAATTGATACTTCTGTTCATGAACTTTCGGTAAACAATAAAAAACACCAACGAGAAATAGTGATAATCTTATTATCCTGTGTTCAACCTGCGTGTATCAGCGATTTTATAATCACCGGTTAAGTAGGAAAAAAACTGATAATCTGAGAAAGCCTGTTAACTTGAATAAAGATCTATTTTACATACCTAAGCCTTTTCTTCTAGTTCCTTTATTCTAAATTTATGTTGTCCAGTGTACAAGTTTTTTTGTTTTGTTTTTTTGCATTTGTGATAGAGAAGTTTCTAACTACGCGTGAAAAAGAGAGATAAATTTTGACTTGTAAAATTATCAAACATAAGATAGTAGTTACCAACCCTTGTTGTTCAGTAATGTGAACCATAACTTGTGTTAGGCTTAAGTCTGGAACAATAACAGCGTTTAGATATTATGTGGAAAAAGACCTTTCTACGTTTTAGTTATGGCTAAGTTAAAATCCATTATCTTAACCATTGCACGTTTCGATTGAAAAACCTCAAGTACATGAGGTACAAAACGTTACGCCAGGCTAAGTCATTTCCACAGATGTCTTTCTCATGTTTGATCTTCGAACGTTAAGCCTGTTATTTAGATGCATTTCTTTTATGATCTCATGATACTGTAATACCGCCAACTTTATGAAGCTGTAAATAAAGCTACTTAAGCGCTATAGAATAATTTTATTGTGTGATGTTTTTTTTCAGTTGAAGTAAAAGATATATATCATATTTCAAACAACTAGCATCAGACACATGACCGACAAAAGTGATGTCCAAACTACGGTACGAGTAGACTAAGATATATACCACCAGAAGAGATAAACTGGTTTTTTCCTATGGTCCACGCAGATGTAAAGATACGTTTACCAACCAGAAACCTCACATATCAACAAAAAATGACAATCCCAACTTAGGCTTGAGCACCTCCAACGTTCTAGCTTAATTCTTTTATCATCGGCAGTAAGAAAGTAATAATTCCTCAAGAGATAAAACAGAAATAATTAATAAATACAATAACCAATAGTATAACATTTGACATCCTCAACAAATATTAATTACATTATCTATATAAACGGTGGAGGGATCAATCTTCTTTGTCTCGTTAATTTATATACAACTTAGACACCTTACGCTGTATTACGATGTTTAATCCCACTAATAAAGTTATTTTTGTCTTAGAGTACCTGTTCCTGGGAGAAACGTTAACTTATTACTCCCAGTTGTTTACAGTAACGTTCTGTTACATAATGTTTATTACAACAAGATAGAAATTAGAGTTCATCTTTGCTTTACTGTGCACTTTGTGAAGTTTAATTTTTAATTATATGGGGAAGTTATGACAACCACAAAGCCCGTTGCAGTAATTTTTTTATTCCTTACATCATGTTGTAAAGTTCTTATTGCCTGCGAGCCAGTAGCAATTCCTTGATGCAGATATTCAAATATACCTAGGTTTCATCTAATTATGTAACAAGCTTCCATCTCGCAGATGCAAGGCATTCTTTGCAGTTTGTTTCCAACTCGCCAATGTGGCCACCAAGACTGTGCACTTGTACTTCACGTTTCTTTATAGGGGTAAAACATTTTGTTCAGAGTTGATGGAGATATGTGAAATTTGTTAAAATGAATCACATTCTGGATGGGTAGGTAGATTTCTGGTCAACCAGTCTGAAAAATTTGGCAATGGCAGCAGTAGTCCTGCTGGTATTAGGATTTCGTTTGAATTGTGTTACATCTTCATATGTATGATACCCATCTTTGATAATGTTATTCACTATAAAATAATCACCTTTGAAACTTGAGCCCCCAGGATTTATGTCTAGGTTATTTTGCTATATGAACTTCATTCCTGAGAGAGTTGTTTGTGAAACACACCTTCAGCCAACTTAGCAGTGCAATGTTTAACAGTTGAGAAACAAATGTATAGATGTTAAATGTATTATCTTTGGAGCTAATATTTTCACCCTTGGCATATGCCATGACATAACCATTCTTATAAAATACTACTGACCTACAGATGACAAACTGATAAAACTGAAAAAGAATAATGTGATAAAATATAACAAATTTAATTTGCAATTTGTACATTCATATGCTGGCTTTCTGGTCAGTGAATTAAGACTATTTTATATTTGACATTAACATATTTTTAAATGTTAATTATGAATCTTGGCAAACATAAAACAGAACCCTTTAAATTATATATATTAATGTCCATAATCGAAAACCATACTGGCTGCAATATGCCTGGTGTAAATCCCATATTAACAAATTACAAACACCATTACATAAGAATAGTTATTTTATTAACATTATACAATTACAAGAAAGTTTCCTAACTGTGGTTTGTTTAATGTGTGCACACTAGACACCTCATCGAATTAAGGTTGCACAATTGGTCTGAAGTGTGTAACATTCTTCAAAACATCTTCAAAGTGACGATATTCTATTTCAGATACAAGATTATTAAGAACACATTCTACAAATAAAATACTTCTCTCTTTTAACCCCCTGCTTGATAAAAATTGTGAGACGTATTGTTTTGGAAGCACCACATTAGAAACATATCACAGGTACAAAGTTACATCATGAAGTTCTGCACATCATCCTATCCTACTTCCCACTAGTAGACATTACAATACCATTTTTAATAGAACACAGTAGTTAGTTTGTTTTAAACAGCCCTACTCAATACCTTGTGTAAAAGATAAATGCTAGAAAACGTACCATTCTTGGTTTGCCTGGACTTATTGAACATTAGTAATTTTGGGCTTGAAATAAAGAAAATCTTTCAAAGCAACAGATTTTGAAAATGCACAAAGTGTTTATGGCATTAATTAAACTAACTTGTAATCCTCTCACAATATTCAAATGTAAAATATTCTTTATAAAATACATTGGTGTTTATGTTTACAAAACATATGCAGGGGTTGGAGGTTATCCAACCATTAATATCTTTCCTATTAAATGGCTTTATAGTCTTATCATCGACATACATTACTAAGGACATAGGCTAACAATGTACTATATATGGGGTAAAAACAAAAACAAGTTAATGGTAAAGTAATAAAACTTGTTTAAAATAACATAATACTAGTAGACCTGCAATTTATAATCATAAAACAAACACACAACCGAACAAAAGAAAAATTATGTTTACTCCAAACAAATCAGAATATATTTTGTATAACGTTTTGCTTTTACAGCTTCTTCAGAGCTCATGCAAAACAATTTTGTTCATCTCTCATATTTTGCTACAGGATGAATACTTACAGAATACTCTGTATTAATTTATTAGATGGTAACTAAAATCATATAAGGTCTATTAGCTATTCAATGCTTCAGTAAAACTCGTTAAAACGTATGTATACTTCTTAGGCATAATGCAGAATGACATGGAACTATAAATTAATAAATATTTTTAAACATAAGATATCAGAATTTTATGTTGACACCAAATCACTCAATTACATAAACATTAAATAAGTAGAGATGCTTGTAATTATTGGAATATTTTTTTATTTTGAGTCTTGCAATAAATAAGTATTATTTAAGCATAGCAAAGTGTTTTCTTATTAAGTCATAAACCATTTCTTTGTTCAATGTTGAGTAGAAAATTAACTAAAACATTTCTTATAATGTTAGAATCAAAAGTTTTATCAACTGTTTTTTAAACAGTTAAATATTTATCTTTAATAAAACAGCCAAACTAAAAAAAAAGTAGGCCCTAAAAGTAGATAGTGAATATTAACATATGTTGTCTTTACTGTCTTCAATCTAAAAATAAGTAGAAATAAGCACAGAGTAAAATGTTCACATCACTCACTACTTCTTAATTATTAATAACAAACAAATTGAAATAAAAATTTTGGAACAAACTAATTACAATTTTTTTTAATCATAGTTGTTGTGCTTATGTTTTTTAGAACAACAGCATATGTTCATATATTTATAAATCCGTTACTTTCACTGTATAACACAATTGAAAGAGAAAGTTACAAGAAAATAGATATAACATTTATAACAATTGAAAACAGACATTATGAACATTGTAGTATGTATTTAAAACACTTATATATAAACGTGGACATAACACAAATGTGAGAAAAATATTTCATGACTAATATTAATTACCTATACTTTACATTTCATAATTAAAACATTTTTGAAATGTATAAGTATTATAAACACAGAATAAATTTTTGTTTGAAGAAATGCTTGTGTGTTTTCTTATAGCAAAGTCACATCAGGCTATCTGCTGTGTCCACCGAGGGGAATCGATCCCCTGATTTTAGCATTGTAAATCCAAAGATATACTGCTGTTACACTGAGGGACTTTTGTTTGAACAAATGTTTCATATTTAATTAGAGTACAACCTACTTTGTGTATAGATGTGGTTTAAGTCTTGAATCAGACTATTTAATATACTTGGGTACTAACTGTACTAGAATTTCTAGTAATCATCAAACTGTTGTCGATAGTTTATAACAGCATACAAAGTAAGGTGACAGTTATTTGTGATAGAAATAAAAAGATAAAAAAATTAACATCAAAATTGTGCTCATGCATATATATGAAAAAAAAGTTTTGTTAATTCACCACATGAAGTCTGGTCTTACTTTGAAAGAAATAGTGTAGCTTTTGATGTAGTATAATTACTATAACTTAAAAGTACTACACTTTACAATTTCTGTTCAAGTAATTAACAAAATAACACATTTTAACAATTACAGGAAATAAGTACTTTCAATTTTCTGTCTGTAGCAACAATGAAAAAAGTTAGAGTAAAAAAATTAATTATTCTTAAATGCTGACTACAATGAATAGTAACTATATGTTGAAAACACGAACTTAAATCAAAGCTCATCTCTGGCATACTGATTCTTATTCTGAAAAGTCATAAATAAAAAGAAATACATTAAAAATAAAAAACAGTATACACAATATTTACAAATATAATAATAATCAAATAATTTTAAAATTATTTTTAGTTTCCAATATTTTGTCTTATCTAATAATATACTAAAAAAGGGTCATTTATTTTCTATGTTGTAAAGAAATTTGGTTTTATTTCATATTAAACACAACATATATCAAGCACTTGTAATAAGTTTGTGCAATGTTTCTTCTTAAATATGAATAGAACTCCAAAAATTATAGTTCTCCAAAGTCCTTATGTTAAAATGCTAACACAAAACCAAACAGACTGTTCCACATAACATTTCAGACACCACACTGTTTGTAAAAACACATCTTAATATATTCAGATATAATACATAAAATAGATTCGAATACCCAAGAAAAGTCATTTTGTAAAAAACAAATTATACCAAATTTCGTACTCATGTTTTCAAGTAATAATAGTAATTCAAAGAGATTAATAAGGCCTACAGAACTGCGATATCTTTTAGAGGAGTTCACAGAAAACAACTCTTAACCCTATGTGCATGGATGGGGGTCAAAGTATGCAAATCACTAACTTGTCAAGGCTGTGTCAGACTGACGGTGGTAGTTCACAAACATGTCTTGAGTACAAATATTTACATAACATTTTTTTTGTGCAACAGACTTTTATATATTACTAAAAGCTTGCCACATTTCATGCAGATACACTTGGTAATTAGGAATTATAGTTAATATACCAGCCCTAAGTACATTGAGTTAAAAGACCAAAGATTTCATTAAATGTTATTGGTCAGAGAAAGAGACTTAAGACGTCCCTCTAATTCTTATGAAACATGTGGCAAATATCTACAAATACAGAGTTGATACTTACAAAAGTAAACATTCTGAAAAATGTCAAATTGTACTTTAAAACTGTAAAATAAATTTATCAGACCATTTGGTAAAACATGATAAACTTAATGCAAACAAATGGTCAAATAACCCATTATGTAGAAAATCAACGTATTTTAGGGGTTAATTAGAAGTATTAAATCACTGATATATGTTAAAGCATAGTATAATAATAATAATAACAGGCTTTACATTTTTTTTTTTTTTACAGAATGACAAGTAAGCTAAATTCAAGTTTAGAGACAATGAAGAATAGCTAAGTAATTTCAAGAAAACAACCGTAAATCGATGAAAGATCATCACATGCACTTACAGATATCGTGGTTGTAAGAAATGAAATAATTGTAACAAAAAAGATCTAATCAAATTTCAGTCTTACTTTTGTGATTTAGAAACTTGTTTAATGAAACATTAAATACATTATAACTTTGATTTCTTACAGAAATTATAAACATCATTTTCTTACCTCAAATACTTGGGGAAGTGCTCTGTTGATGTAGGCTATTATTTTATTGGCATCGAGGCTATGAATCTCCTCTCCCCATGGACTCTTTAAAGACAAGTAATTAGGGGAGATCACTAACTACTTTACATAGTCTATAGAAACAAGGACAGTTTGATATCCTATGTGAACTACATTACTTAAACCTAAATACTGTATACTCAAAATTATATATTAGTCACATTTCTGGCAAAACAAGTATCTCAAATAACCATACCAGCAAATACAATTGTGTGGTATCTCACGAGGCATCACCTTGAACATCTCATTGTTAACAAATTAACGAGTTAGCTCTAGCTACTGTTACTAAGACATGTTTTAACTAATCAAATTACTTGGCATCAGATTTTTCTCTTATCATAAACAAAATCTGACAACAGTAACAAAACTGTGAGTTTATTAGTCAGGTGTTAATTTTTTCATAGTGCTTCAAGATATGGAACCAAAAGCACTAGACTACATCAGCATTTCAATAAATTTGATTTCTCACTGATTCTACTTTATTCTTTTTAACTTAGCTATTTGTTAAAAATATATATTATTTAGTACACAAGGTAAACTTAACAGGAGATACAAAAGTTGAGTACATTATTTTAAAACAATTTTGAATTTGCAAATCAGCAAGTGACAACCTCAGTCGATATAAAGTTGCAGTGGAACAGAATGAATCAGAACTACATTTTGACATTGTTTAGCATTTCACTGGTAGCACTGCCATTGAAATTATCACTTTTGAGAAGGGTATTTAACAGCCCTTTCCAATGCAAAACATTCTCCATAAAGATGTGTTCTGATTTGGGATATAGAGCTTCTAAGACGAAAATATCCTTTGTTTTTAATGGCATTAGAAAACAGAGGAATAAGGATCAACTTGGGGTACCATGAACATCCAGAAAAAGACCTGAAGTACAGCATCTTATAATAAGTGACAATCCACAAAAGTCAGTAGCAAAAACTGTCCACACAATCCAGAAGGATCTAGGTTGAAAACAAGATTAACAGGATACAGGTTCACCAAAAAGATGTTTCTAATCATAACTTCCATTCAACTGGGTATTCAAGTGAAACGTGTATTTATGTTATTCCATATTAAGATGTAACTTTCAAGTCACAAGATGTAGCTTATCGATTTCTGTGCAATCATACTGTTGAAATAGGTGTTGAGAAACTGTGGTCCTATTACCCTAGATGGATTTTTGAAAGCTTAGAGGAAAGAGTAGTATGCTTACAATGGAGCTCTTTATAATGGAAACAATGTTGCAGGGCTATTGTCACAGCACACGGTCATCAGATAGAGCATGACTGGACATAGTGATATGTACTGTAATGACATGGTGAAGCTCCAAACTTGTTTTAATATAATGTACCCGACCCTTTATGTAGAATTCTTCTACAATGTGAGTAAGATAAGATGGGATGTTTTAGTGACTATCATTATCATCAAGTGCCATGCTTTATGGCAAAGGCAATCACATCCCTCCACTTTTCCCGGTCTCAGACACGTATGATTACATCAGCCACCCTCTCTCTATGTAACCAAACTGTTAAACTGTCCAGGATATTCTCCCATTGTCTACCTCTACTTCTTTTCCCCACAAATTTTCTAGTTGTTACCAAGTGTTCCATCCCCTTTCTCCTCATCACATGACCAGAGAATGGTGCATGTCTTTTTCCTACTTTTGTTATCAATGTTTTTTGTTTCTGCTTGTTGTAGAATATTTGTTTTCTGGTCTTTGTAGGAAACCCTAAGCATTCTATGCAGGAACCAGATTTTGGTTGCATTAAGTGATTATTCTTTGGAAAGTAAAGTAGTGGTTTCCTGTTGCTTTCTGTTGGTTTGTGTACAGTTTACTCTGGTAGCCTTTGTTCAGTTAAGAACATCCCACAAGGCAGTGGGGTTCTGTGGATGGCCGTTGACTCAAGCGAGTTCATCCGCCCTTTGTCACCGACAGCTCGACCATGAACAGGTAGTACTGGATTACATGTTTACCAGTAGCAGATAAACTGATCTGACAGTTTAGTGACTATACTAGACCAAAAAAGACGTAAAGATACACCAAACATGAAAATGGCATTATATGCAAATGTATTTTTAAAAATTAAGTTATAGGTAACTAACCTGAGTTTTACCACCTTGACTACCCCTAAAAAATAAAACAGTAGGGTAACCTTGAACACCAGCTTCGTGGCATGTGCTGGGATAATGATCACAATTTACTTTCCCTGTTTTCACCTTTCCCTTCAGTATCTAGATGAGAAATAAAAATGATCACTCTGTAATCTGATTCAAGTAACATGTAAAATATTCAACAATTTGAAATATCTCGAAACACATTAAAAATAGTGTTACAAAACTTTTACATGCAATTAATATGCTTCTAATGTTGATGCAAATATTAATTAACATAAGGATATTGTTACAATGCTTCTTTGGATTGGAAAGTTACAACTTTCTAGCTCTGTACATGTAAAAATAATTTTATGATTTAGCTTCTTAGGACCAAATTATAATACCTGAATATCAATTTAAAACTAATGATTAAACTGCAGAGAAGTGGTAAATTTTTTACCACAAGGTGGCCACTCGTATATTGAAGTATTAAAGTTAAAATTATCTTATATTAATTTCTCACTAGTTAAGAAAAATTCTTTGGTTTATTATTCAAGATAAATTACTGGCATGATCTGTTTCTTAAAATTACGCTTCTTTTAAAATTTTAACAACAAACTTTGAAAAAATATGGTTAGCACTTACCTTTGCAACATCTTCAAATTCAGGTGCAAACACTTGACAATGTCCACACCAGGGAGCATAAAAATCAATCAGCCAAGGATCTTTATCAGGGATAACCTTCTGCAGGAAGTCATTAGCTGTTAGCTCAGTAACAAAACTCGGAAGATAAGTTTGAATCCAAGCTCGTAAAGACATTGCATCACGATGCCATCCATTATAAGTACTGAAAAATCAAATATTTCAGATTGAAATATTTAAATTAGCTACTTAATATAGTGAAACACTATATCTGAAAAACATCTAAAGAAAAAAAAAAACAAAAAAAAAACTTATAAAAATTATTTATTACTTGAATGTAAATATAATACTTTTGGAATAAATATTATGATGTACACTAACTGTAAAAGTTCCAGAATATTAGAGGTTATTTTCTGATCACCTGAAATACCTATGTTTCATTACTGTCTACGGAATTAGTATCAATAATTTTTTTAACCACTCATGTATGCTTTTAAATTCTATAACTACAATTAGCTACAACTCAGAACATACTGGTAGCAATGTTATATACACTAATCTTACAATTAGATCAAGTTTATACGATTAAGCTTAGAAAAAAATCCTCAGTGTCACTAAAGGGTGCTATTACAAGGTCAGTTTAGGAATGCCTAACTTGGTCCCATGTTAGAAGTAAGAGAAAATGGGGTTGCAGCAATACGCGAAACATGTCACATTTCTCAACTGTGTAACTCATACAGAATTTACACAAGAAAATTTCAAAAACTTTTTTCACAATTTACCCCCCAAAGTTTTCCAGAACTTTTGAATCATATCATTTGCATATTTGTTCAAACATGTCCACTAACAAAAACTGAAACAGTTTTGGGTCTTGTGAAGTTGAGATTGACAATGGCTAACAAAAAAATCTTTATTAAGATTGAAATTTCACAACATGTCTAGCACGATGACTTAAAAACAGCAATTTCACCACGGTTTTCTGTACTAAATGTTTTACAATTCATATTACATAACATTCTGGGATTTCAAGGAGCTGTGTGAACCCTTTTCACTGTTTCTAGAAATTTCACACAATCAGAGTAAACTGAAATTCAACTGGATATTGAATTTATGAAAGTAAAACCGTTGGTCATCATCATGATCTGCAGGTGCATTCTGGGCTGAATATTCCAGTGTAAAAATTACTGTTACTGATCAAAAAATCCCTAGAAAAACAAGTTACAGTAGTCATGTATTTCATGATAAGCCTTCACATGTTTTTAAAATTTCACTACAATATTTTATAAATCTAAGGCTAATCAGGTTGATGTATATACCAAACTATAGATGTGATATTCCTCTTATGATCTTTGTTAGTAAATACAATTAACCTGAAAGATAAATCATTCTGACACAACATGTGTACTCAAAACAGACTATAACATTTTATTTTTCCACATTTACTCAACAAAACATATACCCTCAGTCAGTTACACAAGTCAACTCTACTATTGATTTGGATCTGCTGAAACACAATGTCTGAATCATAGAGATTTTCCTCATCATTAGAGAGTTCCTTAAAGTCTATGAAACCTAGACTTTTGTTTGTTTTGTGCATTGCAAAGAAACAAACAACTACTGGACAAAATAGTTAGAAGACTTCAGAATTAATTTATATAAATTATGTAGCTTGTGTAAACACAATATTCATATGAATTTGTAGCTTTGAAATTTTAAAAACATTTCATTCCATTATGTTTTTAAGAAAATTAAAATGATTACCTTTGTTGTAGATTTTAATTACTGATTCTTATATCTTCCTACATTCTTTTAAAACTTTCACATAAAGTTTTTATTTTATAAAACTGTGTTGATTCAAGAAATGATGCATGTAGTTTAATTGTGTTTATGATGATTGGACACACCAAAATTATAAGCAAATTGACTATTTTAAATTGCTAATCAGAAGGTTTAATTTAACTCTAAGTACAGGCCTGGCTCTTCTGCACATGTCAAAGTTATACAATTTCTCAGTTACTTTCAAAATTTAAGTAAAACACCTTTATAATTAATGTACGACAATAGAATTAGCATTGTAACATAGTTCATAATTAAAATTTTTGATATTATTTAAGTTTTTAATTATAATTTCAAAGAGAAACGTAAAAAAATTCAATTTCCACAGTGATGTGCAAGCTCTGTCAATTTTCCCCTTTCAGTTAGGATAACTCCAAGAGCTCAGTATGTAGATTACACCTTATTTAGACAATCTATAAATAAGTCCAAGGTCCAATGTACAGTTTTAAATCTTAACCTCTCCTTTCAGTGAGATATCGATAAATTTTCCTAACCCACAACAGAAGCCCCATCCATTCATCCTTAACTATCAAAGCAGTTTTTAAAAACATGTCACCTTATTTGGCATAGTTGTTCACAACCAACAGAAAGTTTTTTTCAACTTCAAGCTTGGAATGGTCTTTTTGAACTTAGCAGCAATAAACCTAATTAGATACCTTAATTCTGTTAACATTTTGGTACAAAAAGTTAACACTCATGGCATTTAACAATTATTTCTAACCTAGTTATATTTTAGTTAGAAAGACAGTTAAATTATAGCTGTTTTCGGACATTACATTTTAGTGAATTATGTATTACTTATGTTTTAAAATGCAAATTTGAAAGGTGAAAGATTTCTCTTCATGAAAGAAGTTAAGAGAAAATTTTAACAAGGCTTAGCTTGCCAATTAACAAGTACAGAATGTCATTCTCAGAGCACACAAGTGTATGGAAATTTGTTAAGGGCTTCCCACTGTGATGTGTTCATTTCAGGCCCGAGTAGACTACGTTGCACAAGTTAGGCAATTAAACTACTTGAAAAGATACACAGTTGAAACTATGAATAATGTAAACTCAAGCTGTGGAAACAAAAAGAAATAGGCTTTATTTCTTAACTGTACTTCAATGTATCTTGAAGATTCAGCTACAGTTAATGTTATCAATGTGAAAATTAATAATAAAATATAAGGTTTTGTAAGAAAAACTTTTACTATTAATTTGGAATGTTCTAGAGGTTACACAAATGAAAATCAAAACTTTGAGATAGAAAGTGTGAGAGCTAGGTGATTTGCATGCTAAGAATATAGATATTTCCGAGTCAGACTGACTCAATAAATTCGCAGAAAACTTATTTACAAATCCGGTTTTGTGTGTACCACAGACTTAACATTTACTAAGCTTTGCCAAATTTCATGAAAATACACTTGGCAATTTCAGTTATAGTGTGTATAGTTTCATGGTGGTTACAAGTTTATCAAAATAATGAAGCCTGCACTTAGAGAATTAATACATGTAACAAGTTTTAAACCCATTTTATATTCATTTATAATGTTTTTTTAAGATTTCTTTTCAGAAATTATTTGCACCCATTTGAACAGTTACTCATGCAAACAAAGCCTAACAGTGCAATCAGTGAAACGAAAAATAAGTTCAAAATTATTTTACTAAGCCTACCACATTTTGTTGCACTATCATAATTAAATTTCAGTATAAAATGATAAAGCAAACGTTTTTTTGCAATCTTAAATAAATAAAAACTGTAACTGTAGAGAAAGTTGTTCACAGACACCCAAGTTTCTATCACTTTGTTCCAACCTCTACACAAATCTTAACTGAACTAGAAGTCTAATTGTTTTTTACAGTGGTAAAGAATGGAAAATCAGTCTTCATCAGTGGTCTATGACTTTGCAAAGCTTAAGTACAGGTAACGAAGATTGAGAAAGTCATTGGTAAAAAACAAAACAAAAATAATAATCAATACAAACAACACTTGCATTCCAGTAACAATGACAATGCTATTTTGCTAAAAATTACTGTGACTTTCTTCCTAGGGTCCACAAGTGTCATAATATGTTCTTAAAAATTTCAGGAAATTCACAGACGCCAATGATTTTGTTAGAAGCTCATTGAAATCAATTAAAAAAAAAAAAATAAATTTACAAATTTTTTAGTGAATAAATTTAAACTCTGAAGTTTTTCTTTTTAATGTTTAGAAAAACGAGTACAAGTTTATTTTTTATATCTGTTTAATTCAATGGTGTAATTTTGCTTCGAGGAGGTGTGAAAGAGTTAAAGAATCCATGATGCTGAGACATTTTATCCCAAGTTATCTCCAGTTGCATAAAACAACTAAATACACTGTAGTGTGTGTATAAAATGAAACGAAAGAGAAAATACATTAATGTTCTCACATTATATAATCAAAAACTGTTTAAGTGTTTCTCTACAATTGAGAGTTATTACTTAAATAATAACAATTGCTAGTTAAAAATCATATTTTACGTGATTGACTTTATCTAGTTTTCTGTATGGATTTGAAAAACTAAACATATACCAAATTCATAATTACAAAAGGAAAATATTCAATATATATAGCACATGTTTGGATATGAAAAAAATCTAACAGCCAGACATGCACAATGTACATTACAAAATCTGGCTGCACACTTACTTAAATGATTTGGCACCCCTTATACCACGAGGAAATAGGCGTATATTGGGATAGGAGCGAACATCTTGTTTCCTGCAGAAATCTGGAAATGTTTGGCAGTTGACGTCCCCAATTTGAATAGCAGTATCATTCAAAAACATCTGAAAAGTTAAAATTTGTTAAATTAAAACATAAAAAAAATTAATTTCTTTTCTTTACAATACTAAATAAAGATTGTGATTCCTCAGGTATTAAGAACTATAAAGTGGATAACATTTTAATTACTAAAAATTTCTTCTGGCGAGATTGACCATCACTCCTCAGATTACAAAGATGATAGTTCTTATAGCTCATACAAAAATCCAGTGAAACTAAACTTTATTTATGAAAAATACATATATAATTTACTTCTTTTTACACATTGGACCCATCTTTCAAATATTAAACCAAAACCATTAAAAACAATGGTTTGTGGGAACTTATAGAGTTAAATATTAATATTCTGTTATAAAACGAACCTTTGCCAGTTTACGCCATTCCGAAGATAGCTGTTGACAAGGTCCACACCAAGGTACATAAAAATCCACTACCCACATGTCTTCAGCTTTTTTCTCCCCAACCAGACTGGAAAACAGTTCTGGTGTTAGTCTAATTACAGGTGGAGAGAGAGTATCCTAAAAGAAGAAAATATGTGCACATTTGATTTAGAGAAAAATTAAATGTTAAAATATATTGACTAAAAAAAAACAACAACCCCTAAATATCACTTATATTCAATGGATTTGAAGCTATTGCTACAAATGATCTGTTAATGTTGACAAAGTTGCATTTGATATTCTCAAGTAACGTAGCTTCTGGTGTGCAAGTTGGGTTGAAAAAGTAATTATTTTATTACTGATAAAATTTATAAAAACAAATGTAGTTATTTTTGTACTTACTATTCAAGAGATTAATTACTACCAATATTACAAAACATTAACAACTAGCTAGTTGTACCGCGAACTTGATACTGAAGAAATGAGTTCCAATAGTTTAGCATTAGAAATACAGCTGAAGTAGCTAGTCAGTTTCTCAATTAGAAAGTAATGTTTTTTACCTGCACAAAGTCCACAATATCTTTTGCTGAATGGGAACCATGAAACTGGTGTGGGACACTCTGATTGTACAGTATGGTGGTTGGGTAGGATCTGATGTTGTACTGTAAATACAATATAAATAAATCACACGAGATAAACATTTCACATACCAAAGCCAAGCTAACAAATACCACTCATAAAGTTTCCAGCAATATATTCTGAATACCTCCCATTAGTACACATCATTGTTACTGTGGTGTTATAACAGCCTACAACAGTCATGTTGGACGAAACTATGAATATTCTAATACTTCACAAGTTTTGTAATTCTTTAGTTCCAAACTAATCAAAAATGCCTTCTCTCCAAATTAGCTTTTATGTCTAAGTTTGATCTTTTAACACAACGTACAGTACTTCTAACAATTTGTTGATGCATGAGAATGTTTATAGAAAGCCATAAAAACATGCTTATTATTTAACATGCACACCCCCAAATGTTATAAGGCAGGCTGTAGCACTACCTATGTAGGGATGGCTTGGATCGTTCGTCGAAATAGTATTTTAAATATCTCCTCAATAGGTTATAAGAACTTTAACATACTACAGTGTTTCCTTTTATAACAATATCTATGTAATAGCCGAGTCACAAGTTCTGTGAATGTCTCTAAATATCACAGCAAAAAATTTGAATTTTTTTGTTCTACTTTATTCTGTTTTTTATTACATTATAACTCAAAAAACAAAACAATAGTGTCAACCAGTTTCACTTAGGTGGCATAGTTTTGATAGAGTATCCACTTTTATAAGTATTATTAACTAGTAGTAATAAAAAAAATCCTAATTCTAGTGTAAATGATGTTATCATTACCCCCTGAAGTTAGCTTTCTTACAGAAATTTGGTGTTCCTTTAAAAAGCTTAAGTACAGGGTGAAAAAAGAATTACCAACCAATAATATATATAAAAAATAAATATTACAGTTGGAACCTCATTGTATTTAGAACTTATTACAAGTACAACCTTCCTATGTCTATTGAAACACTGCATTAAAAAACAAACAAGTAAAGAAATTGGAATTAACACGCACACACACACCTATTCAATCACAATTGAGTTTAATTTATCCTATTTTTGCCTGTTAACGTTCTACTGCACTGTGTGCCTGTGCTATTATGTAGGGATGATGCAAGTGCCTTCCCTACAATCTTGTTTGAATTGTTTTTGAAGGATTGATATTAGCCATCACTAAATTTCTTTCTATTTTGAAAAGTTTTTCTTTACTTGTGTGCAAAATAGTTTTAACCACAATCCTATTTTAGTTTTGACAAAAATAAATATTATGAGATTCAGGACACATGTTAAAATGATACTAACCTTGGAACATAAATGGCCATGAATTGTACAATCTACAGTTCCAAAATAAACTTTTTTACTGACAAATCTCGAAGCTTTACGGAATTCTGGAAGAAGGTTCATACATGGTGGGCACCACTGAAAAGAAAAGATTTTATATGAATAATTTTATAGTTTTAGGTAATCTGAGTAAAGACACATGCACAGGAATGTAGTTACTAAAGTTAAGTATTTTTGTATTTCACAACTAACTCCTTACCTCAGTGTTGTTTCTACACATTTACAAAATTTTAAAACACCTTCAAACAATTACTTAATAAAACTGAACTTACTGGAGCATAGAAGTCCACAAACCAGATGTCACTACTTTGAATCACCTTGTCCGGAAAATCACTAGGGCCAAGAGTATGGACACGACTAGAAAGGCTTTCTCTTGCAAACCCAGCAATATCATGAGCTGTTGCACGACCTATCACACAAGATATAAACATCTTTAAGGCAAGCATTAAAAAATATCCTTCAAATATGCTGCTCTCATGAAAAAATCTACATATTTCATCATGTAAAAATTTTGTTTTTCCCGAGTGAAAATATTACAATAGCATCATCTCTATGAACTTGGAAAAATCTTACTTGTTCAAAATGTATTTACACCTATCTAATGTCAGGTGAAAATAATTTGTATTTCGTGTAAAGTTATTGTTATATCAAAATTTTTTGTATGGACATTACAGTCTGGGAGAAACAAAATATTTGTATAATTCTATTCAATTTAGCTTTGAAACAGATACAAGATCCATAACAATAGTTAATACACTTTTTGTTGTTCAAACACTTGTGTCATATACAAGATGATGATGATGTCAACATCAATTACCACAACACAACCTTCTAATCTACAACAGGACAACTTGACTAACCACACATAATTAAAAGCTCCTCTTCCGTGTCTTTAATATTCCAATGTTAGGTTTTAGGAAAGCTTTACAAAACATGAATGGGTATATTGGACAGTAGTGTAGTGGTAAAATGTTTTGTGTTGGAGTCCAAACTAAATTATAATAAATTTCCTGCATTTCTAATATACGTGTACATGTGGTCTGCATTTCGGTTATTTAATCTGTTCATAATTACTAAACAATTATTAGTTAAGTTTATGTGATTAACAAGCATGTCATAAAAATACAATTGATACATTATCCTTAGATTATACACAGCATCTCTCCACATCGTGAAGGATATACAGATACACTACTTGTGTACATTTGTATGTCATAATTTTAACCAAACAAATGTAATACTAGAAAACAGCATATATACAATTTAAGTTTATTTCACAATTACTCAACTACACCACCAATATTGGACAGCTACACAAGCTAATGTAGATACAAGTTAAATAGACATATGATGCATGAACTTTTAAACTAGAAAACAGTTATTTTTAGAATCATGATGTTATCAATATATACCACTTACAATTATTCTCTTCCAACACAACTGCACAGGAATTATTGTAGTTTGAATTTTGTTTTTATATCAATTTCTTCAAGCTTCAACAAGTTCCAAGACGAGACATAATTCAATACAATTTTCTTGTTAATATACCCGGAACTAAGTAAACTTAAATTTTATATTTGTGGAATTTTTTTCACATTTATCATGCTGCTTATACTAATTTTTTTTTTAACTCCAGCTAAGAATTGCTTTACTACGAGTAAACTAAGCTATGGCTGGAATGATACATCAACTGGAAACTAAATGACTACTATTAATGTTTTCATGTTTATATTCCAGTTCCATTCAGGTATGCATACATGGAATCTGTTACATAATCACTGTATATTTCTAATATCCCAAGTGACATGTTACTAGACAACTTTTGTAAGGCATAACATATTTGTAGCATGCAAGTTTAAATTTGTTACTGATGAAAAGTTGCAAAAATTCACTATGGTTTAAATATGGGATACTATCTTTAGCAATCTGAAGAAGGTAAAAGAATAAACAAAATCGACCACACTGGAAGGTAAAAGACAAATGAATCTAGACTGAAAATATAACATTTGAAACAATTTCTATACCAAATTTCATTTAACTTTTAATACATTTCCTGCCCTTGGATTATGTGTGCATGTGGATTGTATTTCAGGCATTTTAATTTGTTTATAATTACTGGATAATTGTCAATTAAGTTTATATAACCAATAAGCATATCTGAGTAATAAAAATTCAAGTGATATTATAAGTTCAGCAGCAGTAAAGTACCAGTAAACCACCTAAAATTTACCATTGTTAATATAATGTTAAACAATTATCACTTTCATAAACTTGTAAAACACTGTGTTTACTTCAAAAGTTTATTGTTTGATTATAAAACCTTTCACAATGCTTACCATGATGATATTCATAAGATCCTCCTGGCTGAAAAGCAACAAATGTAGGAAATTTGTGAATATGAAGACGAGAACAGGAAGACCAAAATGACTGACAGTTTACTCCACCTATGTGGACAGAGGGTAAAAGTGCAGTCAGCCGTTTAATTTCTCTATCTAAACTATCCATTTCTTCCTGGCTATTACCACCATTGGTAAAATAAACTATCCATGGTCCATCAATCTTTTGTTGCAAATTTTTCAGAACATTCTAGAAAGAAAAAAGTTATATACTGAAAAACTTTTTTTGAACCAAAATAAACATTTTTTTTAGACGTGTTCAAATAAATATTAAAGACTATTCTTTTCTTCAGATAAATAAGAAAGTTAATTTACTACTTATTTAGGAATATTAAGTAATTTGCTACTTATTTAGGAATACATTAAGTAATTTTGTAGAGTAATGAAATCATGATTTTTCTTGTTTTTTACAAAAATGCTTTTACAGGAATATTTTCTGTAATTGTAGAAAACTGTTACAATATATCTCTTTCACTTACATATTAGTTAGACTATATGAAAACTAACAATTTAACTATTTTCCTTTTCATACTAATAAAATGCTTAGATATGAGACAATAAACATTCACCGAAACATTTAGAAATTCTAGTTACCATTAACAGCTGTTAGTCAAATTGCAAAACAAGAAATTTAAGTAAACAGTTGAATTTTTTAAATAGTGATTTAATTAGTCAATTTCATTTACTATAACCACAGAATGTTAATAAACACATGCTATGGAATGTTATTTACTTAAAAGATGTTTATGATTATCAAATAAAAATAAGTTGTGTATTTTTGAATTTCTATTTCAATAATAAACAATAAAGACGAGTTCAGCAGCAGTAGGATACCAGTAAACCACTTAAAATGTTAAATATCACTAATTGTTCCTAAGTGTTGTTACTGTAAAGAAAAATAATTTCTAACAAGATGTCATAGTTTGAATAAAAATAAACCTCATAACTTTAAAATAAATACATAAAATTTTTTAAACATATGCATTCCAATAGAAATCTTCAAGTACATAATAGTTACTTATACTGTCCATAAATATTCGTAATCATTAAGTCAAAGCTAAATAACAGATTATTTGACCATGCTTACAACAGGGATCAAACCTCAGTTTTCAGCATCATAAACTCATCTATAACTGTACTTATTTTCATAAACTCAAGAAATATTATTGAACAAGTAAAGTAAAACAAAGACTTTTGCTAAATAACATGTTCATAAACACTTCTTTACACAGGAGGTGTTAACTATTACAGATAGATTACAAAGGTAAAAGTTCTTTCATGACAAGTTAAAGAATTATGATAACTGAAATTGTCTTGTTTTTGAGCATACTTAACTATTTCATGGAAAACTATGCATCAACTACCATTCATAACACACTATGTAGTCCTTTACGAAAATTATGGATCTTAATGCAATAAAATGGAATGTCTGACATACAATAATCTTGTAATATATAGGTACCTGGAACTCTTTATCAGTTAGTTCCTTGGGTCCGGGTAAGAGCTGGAGGACAGCATGAGCAATTTCTTTGGTTTCTTGACCTTCCAATTGATGGTACTTTTTCTTATCATTAAAATTCAGAAGGTCTTCAAATAAAAATACACCTGACTTCCCACCTAGTTTTTTACAAAGCTTCTTCTCATTGGTGCAGTCAACTTCACCCACATTTACCAGATTTTCCTGTAAATCAAAATATGTTGATGTTCTAGCCTTTATTCATGAAGAAAATTGTGGGATGGCAAATTTTCATAATGGAATAAAAATAATGATAGAGTTTAATCTACATATAGATATAAATACACAAATATAATCTGATGCATACATACATGCATGTAAGTTTACCAGTTTAATTTTTGTAATAAATCAGTTGCAATTACCATCCTTCAATTGAATTCTTACATGACTTTCAGTAACTGAACATTAAATAATTAACAGTGATAAGAATTTTACTACATATATGACAAAAAAATTTAAAACTTATTCTCATGGAAAGTTTGTTTTCTTTAAGGGCTTCAGTAATTTTAAAAGTTACTATCAGGTTTATATTAGAGCCAGAGTCTTTTACAGTGGGTGTATGCCACTTATTGGTGATAAATTCGAACAAGAAATGAGCAGCACACAATTCACTTCTTTGAAAATAATATATTCAAAACAATTGAAATAAATGTACAAAAATTATTTACACTATAGGATATCACAGTTGTATCTAAAACTATAAATACCTATCTTTTCTTGTCAAAAGTCCACACCGGCCGATTCAATTACTTTAGAAACTAATTGACAAGACATATTTTTTTCTACTCTGTTTCTTACTATACAATCTGCGATAAATTTACTTATGTTACCTTGTGGATTACCACATTTGTATCCAGAACTTTAAATATAATTGTCTCCTTTTTGTTAAAGTCCACACAGGTGGATTCAATTACTTCAGAACATCCTTTAACAAGACAAATTATTCTTTTTATCTCTGTTAAAACTCACTTTAAGTATTTCCACTTATGGCTAAACTAACAATTATGTGCACACATAGACACACTGCCCAACTGAGGCCTAGAACTTTCTATAAACTGTGAGACACTATAATGTTACAATACTCACTTAAGGCAATGAGAAAAATACAGAAGGCTCAAGTAATGTGACATCAATTTACCACAATTGAACTACACACACACACACACACAATGTACAACTCTTACCGAGCTAAGTAATGAAATGTGTCATAACTATTTCTTTTATAATAATTAACTTTAAATACTCTTTTTATGAAAACTAAATAATCATTAAATATTAGATTACTAAATGAACTAAATAATAACTCTTACACTAAACAGCCAGTCAGACTTATATGTAGTCTACATATCTAACTTACCAGCATTATGGACAGTTTCTTCCTAACATCTTTGAAGACACAAACTGGAATATAAATAAATGACATTTTGTACAAAAACTTCAGTTAAAACTCTTTTGGGTAAAACAATTAAGTAAACTGTAGGACTGGTTTTGTTTAGCTATGGCGTTTACCTCGGTGTGACTCAAAGCACATGTTGCATGGTTTGCTTTATTGCATTGTTTAAATAAAAACTACTAGATGAAATAGCTTGAAACTTTAGAATTAATTCTAAATATCATTTAGTTTCTGTAAAGAAAATATCCATCTTTTGTAATATGTGATATTTATATAAATTTACAGTTTTGAAATTGAAAAAGATTTCAATGAAATACTTTTTTTTTTTGTTAAGAAACCATTATAAATACCTTTGTTGTAAATTTTAGTGTCTTCCTACACTCTTAAGACTTTTCTATAATGTTTGATTTATAAAACTGCAAATATTATCTTTGTTTTGGTTTGAAAAACTATGCACATAGTTTCTGTTTTACAATCATTTGCATACAATAATTACTTGTTTACCAGACCCAAGTTATAAGTAAACTAACTTTTTTGTAAATTGCTAACAAGAAGGTTGCACTTAACATGTAATAAGTTTTAAACATGCTTCATATTCATTTATATACTTTTTATAAGCTTCACTTTTGTTCATTTTCATTGCCATTCAAGCAGTTACTTAAGTTGATATGGAGAAATGCAAACAAGACTTAACATACTGGCCTTGTCAGCAAAACAAAACTTGATTCAGTCGATTGTCAAATGATTTAGCTAAGCCTACCTCACTTTGCACAAAAATAACTACTTTTCCTATCATAAAGTATCATAATTTGAATGATATACAAAATTATAAATGAAGATTTTTTGTAAGACTTTAAAAAAAAAAAAAAATAACCAGGACTGTAATTCTAGTGAAAGTTGTTTCACAAATGTATTTTCTTCAAGCAACTTATCACCAAGCTACACTTTATCACTTTGAACCAATCTCTAACTCTTTCAGCACAGGCTCGACCTCTGGGACTGACCTCGTAACCATTTTGTGCTTGTTATAGTTTTCATGCAATAACTTTTAAATTAGTAAGTACATGTTAATGATATTTGGCAGATTATCAGTAAACATTACAAGTCTTTCATAGACAAAATATCAATTCTTTTTATATTAAGTCTTAATGTTTGTTAAGCAATGTTTTTCTCATGCCTTTTTCTTTTCACATGTTGCCTATCCAACATACAATGTAATTTTCATTTTATGATTAAAAATACTTTTATACATTGAAAAATTTTCAAATTTCACATGCAAAATCTTTATAACATCCAGATATTTATCAAAGTTTCTTAAGAAAAAACTTCATACTTTATCTGTTATTTTCATTAACAAATTTCTGTACAGGTTCACTAGATTTGACCAATCTTGTAACCACCATAAAAAATTAGGAAATAAATATAAATTATGCCTCTTTCATTCTAGAAAGAGAACAAATTATAACACAAAAACATAAAAGTTAAACTAAATAGATTAAATCTCATAACATTATACATTTCTATATATATTTATAATTTTTATTATATTGACCTTTCAGCCATGCCTGACTAACAATACAGAAGTTACAATGACACAGTGCACATGCACTCATGTTACCATATCCAATAATATAAAATTGATCTTTAGTCTTTACAAAGTGACTGGTCTTGGCTGTGCTTTAGTGGACTAGTATTTAGTAAAATACAGTCCAGTCACATTTCAATAATTATATATACACACACACACACACACAAGTGTATACATTTTTCTATTTACAAACAAGTTCTTAAACTTGTCTCTCTTAAAACATAGAACAGTAAATGAAGTAAAGCACACAATTATTTTTTCTAGTTACAACCTTTGTACTCATTTGCTGCTTGTCATAGGTTGCTAAGCCTTAAGAAATTTCACAAGCGGAGGATGTGAAACAATAATATACTTTAGGTTTTTATATATACAGTTGAAATAACCAAAAAATCATAAATTATTATATTGATACCATAGAATTCTACTACAATTTTATCAAGCTTAGTAACTAAGGGTCTAAAATAAATATGAAATTTTGAGTAGACTAAAGACTCAACTTGCCAAATTGAAGTTTTGTATCGAAAGAACGAGATGACATTGTAATACTTGAAAATAGCTGAGAAAGCCAATAGGAGGTCATTCTGAGCTTTCAATTGGTTATTCACACATCATAGACAGAAGTAAGTGTATGTAAGGAAGCACATCCAAAAATGGAAGGAGGTGAGCAGGGCCTATTGTGTTTGATTCAGTACGAGGCATATCTCAGCAATTAGAAAAGATGGGAGGTTGTTATTTTATATTGATAATATGAGTTCCTAATTCATACAAAACTATAGACTTTGTATTTTGACATCATAAATACGTAATCTGAACCAGTGCTGCATTCAACATACCACATGACATAATGTATAATACTAAAATTTGAATTATAAT